TATATATATATATATATATATATTATAGTCTAGTCTTATAATATCTTGAATGCAGGGTTTGTACAGGTTCTGGAAAAAAATCCTTGAAAATGCTTGAATTTCAATGTAGTATTTTCAAGGTTTAAAAAGTGCTTGGATTTTGAATACAGTGCTTGAGATTCTAATTGCTTTCATAATAATTCACGGAGTGTGACATGATTATTTGTACATTTACAGTAATTATGCGGCGACCTATTGCATCCAGTCAATTATATCAAGTCAAAATTATGTCAGCTTAATAAGCTCGATCCAAAACTCTAAAACACCCATTAAGTGCATCTTAACTAAACAGACTTGTAAAGGTCAACAACTGCAAAATTACACTGAAGACATAATGCTTACAGTTTTGTAGCTTGGGTGGAGCAAAGTCAAAATCTTTAGAGAATAAAGTCAAAATTACAAGAATTAAGTCATGGCAGTCAAAAGATTAAAGTTATAATATACAGTGTGTACATGTATCATATAATATTCTACTTTAACCTTTAGAAAGTTTTATGACTGTTTTTAATGTTAAATACATTAGAAGAATGGAGGGTTGGATGCCACAAATTTTTGCGGAATAGGGGATTTTTGCAATTAACTTTATTCACACAATATACTTTATTCTGTAAGTGTTTTGACATTAATCTCATTTTACTACAACTTTAATCTCATCATTTTGACTATCTCTCTCAAAATAATACGACTTTAATCTTTTACTGCTATGAGTTCATTCTCATAATTTTGACTTTATTCCCAAAATATTGTTACTTTAATCTCATATTGCTACAGCTTTATTCTCAACATTTTGACGTTTTTTTTTTTTACTTATGATGCTACGACTTTATTCCCATAGTTTTTACTTTATTCTAAAAATGTTGCAACTTTAATCTCGTATTGCTATGACTGTATTCTAAAAATGTTGACTTTATTCCAAAAATATTATGACTTTAATCTCATATTGCTATGACTTCATTCACACAATTTTGACTTAATTCTAAAAATATGATCTGGTATTGCTACGACTTTACTCTCATAACTGACTCATTCTTCTCAAAATCTTAAGACTTCAATCTCGTAATCTTATTGTTGCATGCACAGTCTTGTATTTGAAGACTTATGGTCCATTGTGCACAAGCTTGTGCAGTTGATCTTCACTAAATATCTCAAGTTGCTTAATGTTCCAAGGTCACTGTGCTTTTCCAGCCATTATTATTTCTGTCTTTTTAAGAGAAGAGAGGGCAGACACAACGTCTGCAGACTTCTGAGGAAAGCGTGGATAAGTCAGGGAGGGGACCTACTAAATTCTGCGGTTATCTAGCGGGGAGGGGAAGTCATTTTTAGATTATGGTTGCAGAGAAATCATCGGGGTCTTTCTTGAGACATGACCGAGATCAGATCCTGCCAATTAGCTTTCTATGTTTCTTTGTATTTGAAGAGCTTTATTGGGCTGTGACCCTCGGGCTCAAATGTTGATAAAGCGTTTCACAAGCTTGTGTTCGTGCAGAAGTCGTTAAAGGTGCTCAGGGCTGAATTTCACATTAATTGCCGCTCATACGGTGATCTGATTAACATCAAGTTTGTGCTGGTCAAGAGGTTGCAGAAGATTTTTAAAGCAAGAAGCATTAGTGCATAAACAGGTGAAATTATTATAAGGTGACCTTAATCAGAAGGGTTTATTAATTGAGTAGTTGCTTAATTTAAGCTGTCAGAATGATCTTATTTATGAGATGCGTGCACTTAAATGCTGCAATAAATGTCGTAATCACCAGTGGTTTACTTTAAGGACAGACTTTATGCATTGATTTAAGATTAATAGTGGAAAAAAAATAGAGGCATTGCTCAGAATTAAATTTTATTTGTGAATGTCGATTGTACATTTTAGTAAGCATTTTCCGTTTCCAATAGATAAAGCATCAACTATTCATCTAAAGCACTTTTGCTCTTTATTTTTGTTGTAGTAACATTAAACAAAATTTTTGTTAGGATTTAAAATGGACACTAAGAAATATTATTATTTTTTTCCTATTCACATTTGTCTTTTTTTGTTCATGCATGTTTTCTTTTTTTCTTTGTGCCATTTATTTTTTGCCAATTATTATTATTATTATTATTTTTAATTAATTGTATTGTAATTTTTAAAAAAATTCTTTGGATTCTTTGATGAACAAAAAGATCAAAAGAAGAGCATTTATTCAAAACAGAAGTCTTCACTATCACTTAAAAAAAAAAAAATTGCCAATACATGCTGACAACAAGTATACAGTTCTTTCAAAAAAAAAAAAAGAAAAAGAAAGAAAGAAAAAGTATTGACCCCAAACTTTTGAACAGTAGTTTCTTTTTCAAAAATGTCTGTTTTAAATAAATGCTGTTTTTCTAAACATTTTATTCATCAAAGAATTCAGAAAAAATATCACCGGTTTAAAAAAAATTGATGATAATCAGAAATGTTTCTTGAGCTGCAAATCAGCATATTAGAATAATTTCTAAAAAAACATTTACTTTAAAAAACATTTAAAATCTTACCAATCCCAAACTTTTGAACGGTTATATATTATGTGAATTGGGTTGTCATCCCTCAATCCAAAAAAGAAAAAAAAAAATTATCCCCCCCTTCATAATTATGACTTTGGAACTTGACTAAATCAGTAGCATCACAGGAGGCCGCATTAAATCATTCTCTTATGTTTTCTACAATAGAAAATGCTTATTTTTGTATTTAAGCCACAAAAGGTGACGACGGCATGTTTGCATGAAGAGTTTCCCGGTTCATCGCAGACAAACACACAGTTTGTTTATCATCTGAAGCGCAGTGGCATTGCTGTGCAGTAACCACGAGGAGTCATTTCTACACGCTGTTCCTGATAGAGATGAAGATATTGCTTCACCCGTATTAGAATCGGCACTTTTCTTTCATGCCTGTGTAGGAAACTTTTTCCTCGTCGAAGCAGAAACCAGGAGACTCTTGGGTATCTTCAGCAGAGTTCTTTATTGAGAACGCGCTGCGTGGCGCTGCAGTCATCAAAAGTCTGACTAAGGCAGTAATACATTGTAGTTTATATACATTTTAAGGGGGTGGGATACATTCAGTAGAGGTGGAGACAATCTAACCCATAGCATGCAAATGAAGTACAGGCAATCAGCCCGACACCGGCATTTTCCCAGCCTTGATCTCATCAGCATAACAGTGTCATTCAAATGCATAGGTGCTAATCCAATCAGTATAACTACTCAAAGACTGAGGCAGAGGCACCAAGAGCCATTACAAACAAAAGGTGATCGTCTCGGTAATCTGGTTCATTTTACTAACAATAGGAGAACAGGAACAGACAGGAACCTCTTGCTACACTTTGCTAAAGATAATCATTTGTCTGATGTAATTTACCTTAAATGCTAAATACAATGTACTTCACCTTAGTTTTTCATGTGATGCTATGTCAGAACATAGGATCAGCATATTTTAAACAGATTCTTACATTTGTAATCCCACACCTGGCACCAAACTTCTCTGTTGCACAGCCTTTCGACTGTCACAGTGTGTTTGTAGCGTTTGGCTCACTGAAAGCCCAATTATCTTTTTCCTTTTGGCTCAGAGTGCTGTTTCACACTGGCACTATTCATCAGCATCTGATCCGGGTACAGAGATGGACGATGTATAATGTTCCAAAAGGCATTGAGCATGAAGATGCAGGCTTGTCTCATCTGTGTAGTTGGCCAAAGATAGATTAGTGGTTTGGGTCCTAGTCTTGTTTGGGCTACATTACTGTATGCCAGTCTCAGCCTGTTAATTACGTCCTCTTGCACCAAATATTGACCCGAGTCCATCTCACTCATGATAAAATATTTGTGAATATTCAGTTTTAACAAGATTTTGAATAGAAAGTTCTTATGAAGCTGTTTGCATTATTCTTTGTTTGTTAGTTTGTGTGTATTTTTCTTAGTTTGTAAATTTTTGCCTATTTACTTATAAGCTACTAGTGATTAACTTATAATTTTATTATCTGAATCTGCTTGGAGGATTAACAGAATATGTTGTTTTTCAAAAAAAAAACAAACAAACATTTATTCCACTGTTTGTGCAGCTTTCTATACTAAGATGGCATTATGTGAAAAATGCATTTATCTTTCAAAAAAAAAAAAAGTTCTCAAGTACGATTACTTATAACAGTGATATTTGAGATACTATTGTAGTTTTTATTAATATTTTAGATTATTTATGTTAGTTAAAGTTTTAGTAGTTTTATTGTTTAAAAAAAAATCTAAATATCAATTATCCCTATTTGGGATAATAAAGTATATTTCAATAACCCTGGTTTATAATATATATATACATTATTAAATATTTTATATTAAATTATTAAATGTTTTATTAATTTTATATATATATATATTTAATAATTATACATATACTGTGTATGTATATATATATATATATGTATACAGTGGGGGGAAAAAGTATTTAGTCAGCCACCAATTGTGCATATATATATTTTTTTTTTTTTTTTTTAGAAAAATTTAAGTCAAAGAAAAAGAGTCAGATGTTCTAACAGACAGACAGGTGTTGCAGTTGTAAGTTTAGCTGGAGTTAGTGGTTTTGACTAGTAGCCTCAGTGTGTTTACATGCAGTAAGGTGACTGTTCTGACAAATTAACCTCCAAAGAAATGTCTTGCAGAGGGAGTCTCCAATCTCATGCTCGATAACATTATCTTTCTTCCTGCTGAGCCTGAGAGAAGACAACAAAACCTCCTGTACGTGGAATGTTTGTGGGAACCTCGATGCCCTGCTCTCTTTCACATGCTCGGCATCATAAACAGCCGCTGCATTCTGGGCCGAGACTCGCGTTGAGATTTAGTTTTCATTTCTATGTTGAACATTGTCACACTGCATGTAGAACTGTGAGCGGGGAGCGACAGATAAGAAGGTCTTTGATGTTAATTGCCACTCCAAAAGTAAAGCTTAATCACAAAGTCTTCCGTCCTGTCATTATTGGCCTGATGTTTATACAAGAGCTGGACACAAATACAGTTTAGTCAGTTTAGCATCATCTGACTGAGACTGTTTGAATGGCAAAAAAAACCCCTTCCTATAAATGCATTTGATGCTTCTTATAAAATGATATTTTTTTTGGAGAGAGAGGAAAAAAAACTAATATTGGCCAAGGGCGTAGAATTTAATAGGGATTCTATGGACGTGTCCCTACCAAAATCCAGCGACTAAATTGTCCCTAGCAATCAGATATTTGTACTGACAGTGTCGTGTAAACATGACTGAAGAGTGAAGATGCCAAAAGTGGAGGAACAGACAAACCGAATCAATTGAGTGAGTAATTTACGCTGGAACGGCTCCCATTGATTCAAACCCGATCAATCAGTTCAAGCGATTCATGAATCATTGGATTTAAATCGGGACTTCGGAGCGGGTTCGCAAATCATATCGCGAATTGAATGTTTCACGATCCTCGGTCCGAGCCCTGATCTGCAGTGATGGTTCGCAAATCATTATTCAGATCGTTACTTCGGAGAGTGGGTCGCATATCATTTGATTCAGATCGGCACTTCGGAGCGCAAATTGCTAATCATTTGATTTTCAGATCGGAACTTCAGAACGGGCTCTCAAATTATTTGATCGGAACTTCGAATATCGTAAATCATTTGATTCAGATTGGAACTTCTGAGCTTGAATTTAATGGATGCGTCCGAAAGCCTAAGCAGCTGACTTGCTGCCGAGCTACCTTATCAGGCAATGACTTTGCAGGCAGCCTTTTTGCATGAAGGCACCTCATAAAACTGATTTCAGACAGGCTTCTGAGGCAGTGTAACGGTTTAATGATCTACAACAAAATAGAACGAGTTTTGATGATAACTAAACAAATATTTAAGTACTATAATACTGATTTCTTACTAGAAATAACATAAAGTGCTGAGTGATAAGACACTCAAGGACACTCAAGAAGAGATCACGGATGACAAATAGCTAAGAAACACAGTGGCAGGTGTCTATTTTTAAATGAAATTCATCTCCAATACTATCATTTCAAGTTTATCCGTTATTCGAATGCAAGAAAAATATAGCTGGTTTTCCAAGTAAAATCCACCAAATAACGTTTACACGTCATTACGTAATGATACATAATCGTTGCAAAGTAACGTTGCAACCTTGCAAACAATAATAAAATCAGAGAAGGACTTTAACTGTAAGCGACACGAGCATACGCAAAACAAAGGGAACAATATGATGTTTGCTATTATTAAAATTTTATATAGCCCACGTTTTTATTTAAAAAAAAATGTATTTAACGATTAGGCAATAACTTATATCTTCAACATACGTTGTCTTGTCTATGACCAAAACTGTAAGATATGTTTTCAGTGGACTTTTAACATTTGCTCTGCTTGAGAAAACAAAAATATACAGTTACAGTGCTTTTTTTCTTTTGATTTAGTCGAGTTGGTTTTGTATCAAACACAATGTGATTCTCGGCAATCAAGATCTGACAGCAACAGCACATTTTTCCACTTGGGCGAGCACTTTGCGGACAGCTTAGCTCATGCATTAAATCTGCTGCAGACCAGCAAATCACTGAGAACGCACTATAACTAGAAAGCTGCGGAGAATCCGCTCGCCCGGAAGCAACCATAACGGATGTAGATTTACAGAAAATTACTGCCGTTTGGCAAATAAATCATTGTACGTACTTATTCCTAACTCTTTAAGCTTTGTTACATTTCAAATGACAACTTATAATCATGTTTATATGAATTATCCCGTGAACTTATTCTCTCAAATGGCCTGGGTATGCGGAGCATTCGCAGCTTATATGGATGGAACGCCACTGTTAAAATGTTATTTTAAAGTATAATAATACTTCACAATATTTAAGTTTTTTCTATGTTCAAATAAATGCAGCCTTGGTGAATCTCACCAAAAAAAGAAAATCCTACACTCAAAAATGAGTGTGGGCTTATTGAAGTTCATTGAAACAAAATATGTGTTGTGAAATAATCAAATGAAAGGTTGGAGTACTATCACACGGCTGAACCGTGATAATGGAGAGAGTGTCCTTGTTTTATTTCCAGGCATTCAGGAGTATGTTGAGGCCGTGTCCTTCCATCACTTCATCAGACATCGCACACTGATCAGCCTGGAGGAAATCAACGCTCGTCTGGTCTTCATGAGAGAAAATAAGGTATGATAATGAATCCTAAAGCCAGCATTATGCATTCGTCTTAATATAAACACGACCTCCTTGATTTTGTCTTGCCAAAACAGACAGGCTACGTTCCCAAGAGCACTTTCACCAGGTTTATCAGATTGCTGACAATCTTATGCTGCTATTTTTAGAAAGCAGTGGTGGCTGCCTGCTTTGCACGTCTCTCTGTAATTTAGATATTTTTAGACGCATTGGACCGGTTTTAGTGAAAATGTGTGGCCATTGATTTCTCAGTTTTCTAGATGTTTTGTTTGTGAATAAACTCTTAAATACAGTGGGGTTGATGTATTTTTGTAGGCCAAAAACAAGTTTGCATTTTAGCACTTAGTTCCATCGTCCCAAATCAATGTTTTTTTTTTTTTTAAGGGCTTTAGGTTGTCTGTGATCTATTTTGGTGTATTTATGGTCTATTTTCACACGTATTTCACATATATATTCAGCGATATAAATTACATCAGTAATACCACACTCGTGACTTCTAAAACTTTTACAAGTGTCTAAATGGCACTACAGAGGTTATTGGGGACATTAAACATCATCACATCGAACAGGTGAACTCAGATATTTTTTTTGGAGAGAGAGGAAAAAAAACTAATATTGGCCAAGGGCGTAGAATTTAATAGGGATTCTATGGACGTGTCCCTACCAAAATCCAGCGACTAAATTGTCCCTAGCAATCAGATAGTTGTACTGACAGTGTCGTGTAAACATGACTGAAGAGTGAAGATGCGAAAAGTGGAGAAACAGACAAACCGAATCAATTGATTGAGTAATTTACGCTGGAACGGCTCCCATTGATTCAAACCCGATCAATCAGTTCAAGCAATTCATGAATCATTGGATTTAAATCGATACTTTGGAGCGGGTTCGCAAATCATATCGCGAATTGAATGTTTTACGGTCCGAGCCCTGATCTGCAGTGATGGTTCGCAAATCATTATTCAGATCGTTACTTCGGAGAGTGGGTCGCATATCATTTGATTCAGATCGGCACTTCGGAGCGCAAATTGCTAATCATTTGATTTTCAGATCGGAACTTCAGAACGGGCTCTCAAATTATTTGATCGGAACTTCGAATATCGTAAATCATTTGATTCAGATTGGAACTTCTGAGCTTGAATTTAATGGATGCGTCCGAAAGCCTAAGCAGCTGACTTGCTGCCGAGCTACCTTATCAGGCAATGACTTTGCAGGCAGCCTTTTTGCATGAAGGCACCTCATAAAACTGATTTCAGACAGGCTTCTGAGGCAGTGTAACGGTTTAATGATCTACAACAAAATAGAACGAGTTTTGATGATAACTAAACAAATATTTAAGTACTATAATACTGATTTCTTACTAGAAATAACATAAAGTGCTGAGTGATAAGACACTCAAGGACACTCAAGAAGAGATCACGGATGACAAATAGCTAAGAAACACAGTGGCAGGTGTCTATTTTTAAATGAAATTCATCTCCAATACTATCATTTCAAGTTTATCCGTTATTCGAATGCAAGAAAAATATAGCTGGTTTTCCAAGTAAAATCCACCAAATAACGTTTACACGTCATTACGTAATGATACATAATCGTTGCAAAGTAACGTTGCAACCTTGCAAACAATAATAAAATCAGAGAAGGACTTTAACTGTAAGCGACACGAGCATACGCAAAACAAAGGGAACAATATGATGTTTGCTATTATTAAAATTTTATATAGCCCACGTTTTTATTTAAAAAAAAATGTATTTAACGATTAGGCAATAACTTATATCTTCAACATACGTTGTCTTGTCTATGACCAAAACTGTAAGATATGTTTTCAGTGGACTTTTAACATTTGCTCTGCTTGAGAAAACAAAAATATACAGTTACAGTGCTTTTTTTCTTTTGATTTAGTCGAGTTGGTTTTGTATCAAACACAATGTGATTCTCGGCAATCAAGATCTGACAGCAACAGCACATTTTTCCACTTGGGCGAGCACTTTGCGGACAGCTTAGCTCATGCATTAAATCTGCTGCAGACCAGCAAATCACTGAGAACGCACTATAACTAGAAAGCTGCGGAGAATCCGCTCGCCCGGAAGCAACCATAACGGATGTAGATTTACAGAAAATTACTGCCGTTTGGCAAATAAATCATTGTACGTACTTATTCCTAACTCTTTAAGCTTTGTTACATTTCAAATGACAACTTATAATCATGTTTATATGAATTATCCCGTGAACTTATTCTCTCAAATGGCCTGGGTATGCGGAGCATTCGCAGCTTATATGGATGGAACGCCACTGTTAAAATGTTATTTTAAAGTATAATAATACTTCACAATATTTAAGTTTTTTCTATGTTCAAATAAATGCAGCCTTGGTGAATCTCACCAAAAAAAGAAAATCCTACACTCAAAAATGAGTGTGGGCTTATTGAAGTTCATTGAAACAAAATATGTGTTGTGAAATAATCAAATGAAAGGTTGGAGTACTATCACACGGCTGAACCGTGATAATGGAGAGAGTGTCCTTGTTTTATTTCCAGGCATTCAGGAGTATGTTGAGGCCGTGTCCTTCCATCACTTCATCAGACATCGCACACTGATCAGCCTGGAGGAAATCAACGCTCGTCTGGTCTTCATGAGAGAAAATAAGGTATGATAATGAATCCTAAAGCCAGCATTATGCATTCGTCTTAATATAAACACGACCTCCTTGATTTTGTCTTGCCAAAACAGACAGGCTACGTTCCCAAGAGCACTTTCACCAGGTTTATCAGATTGCTGACAATCTTATGCTGCTATTTTTAGAAAGCAGTGGTGGCTGCCTGCTTTGCACGTCTCTCTGTAATTTAGATATTTTTAGACGCATTGGACCGGTTTTAGTGAAAATGTGTGGCCACTGATTTCTCAGTTTTCTAGGTGTTTTGTTTGTGAATAAACTCTTAAATACAGTGGGGTTGATGTATTTTTGTAGGCCAAAAACAAGTTTGCATTTTAGCACTTAGTTCCATCGTCCCAAATCAATGTTTTTTTTTTTTTTTAAGGGCTTTAGGTTGTCTGTGATCTATTTTGGTGTATTTATGGTCTATTTTCACACGTATTTCACATATATATTCAGCGATATAAATTACATCAGTAATACCACACTCGTGACTTCTAAAACTTTTACAAGTGTCTAAATGGCACTACAGAGGTTATTGGGGACATTAAACATCATCACATCGAACAGGTGAACTCATCTACTCGTCGCCTCACTGTATTATAATCATGCTTTTGCAAACTATTCTAACTCAAACTTTCAGGGATATGGTTTTTATATATATATTGAAAGAGTTATTGACGCTTAATGGTGGGGATGTTGAAATCATGTGACAATGGTGTAGTTCATATACCTAATGTTTAGCTTTTTACTTCTGCCAGTTGTATATATGCTTCATAATTCACAAAAGATGTGAACATTATTGTGATGAACAAAACACATGTAAGAATCATAAACTTTAGCTTTTCACAGAGCCTGTTTTCTGCAGTAATCCAAAAGCCAATGGAAAAATCCTATTGGGTTTTTGTTGAGGGAATCAGGGTAATGCTAATGGTGCTTTGAAGTCCTCCTGGGAAGTTTGCATTTACGAGTTGGAAAGTCGTAATTGGCATCAAGTGCATTATGATTTTTAAACTCTGCTTGTAAAAAATGATGAAGAAAGAATGAGCATCAGTGTGTTTTTGTTTTGTTTTTATTTCAGTTAATGAAGGTGCTCCGATTGAATCATTATATATTCTATTGTAATTATACTAGGGATGCACGATACTTATCGGACATAAATTATCGGGCGATATGGGTGAAAATTACGTCTTTTTTTTTTTGCTCTAAATGACATAATTGATGGTTATCGGTTTACTAGATAACTAGATCCGATAAAGTACTCTTGCTGGTAAATTAATCAGTCAGTCTGTTTTATCCGAGATTCATCCGCTTTCCGAGTGAAAGTGACTGCTCATTGCGTCATCACCCGTGAACATGTCTTTTTCTCTGTGGCAGCGGAGGACAGTACCATTGCTATTTGCAAAGCATGTTCAGCAAGGATTTCGAGAGGAGGAAAAAAGGCGTCAAGTTTTAACACAAGTCTTATATCTCACTTGAAAGGTCATCATTGCTGCGAAGCTCTACTAAAAGAATATGAATCAGCCGCGGCAGCAGCTACTAGCGCTAAGCCTAAGTCAAATAAATCCCAGTTCCCAGACCTTGCCTCACTTGCATGGAAATACCTGTCAGCCCCTTGCCCCAGCATAGACAGTATTTCCTGGTGCTGCAAATGTTATGGATGAAAAAAAAACACAGAATTGGGTGTGAGAAGTCAGAGATGCTTCTGTTTATCAAGAATCTTCCACTAATGGCCTCACATAACAAATAGAAAAGACAAATAGACATTAAATAGAGACAAGTGAAAAGATATATATACTTTGGAGGAGGGTAAGACATGTTTAGTAGTGTAAATTGGAAGTCATTTTAAGTTTATCATTTATTGTATGTTAAACTATATAATTTCAGAGAAATCTCTATGCCCTATGCACTTTTGAGGATGCACTTTTGTTTTTCTTTTTCTCGAGGTTGACAAATGTATTTAAAAAGCATGACTTAAAGTCAATATACCTTCCTCATCCTCATGCACTAAAGGTTGAATAGATGCATTTCTTTATGCATGAAATACTTGAATATAAATTTGTTTTTAAGAAGTTGCTAATTGCAGGTAAACCATAGTTCTGTTTAAATTATTTTCTGTTACTAAGTGTTGTGGTGCCTTACACAAAAAATAAACACATTTGAAGAGTCAGGACGGATGTTTGCTATTATAGTTAGGCCAGAGCTACTAAAATATCAGTTTAATCAGTGCTTCTTAGATTTTCTATTCTCCTGGGTGCACAAACTGTAGATTATATGAAAATTATAATATAAAAATACGAACTTATCGGTATCGGCCATGAGAAAGACTTAATTATCGGTTAAAATTGTTCATATCGTGCATCCCTAAATTTGACAGTACTATTGTATTTTGTACATGTAACTTAGTTTTATTATAAAACTTAAAACTTACCATCAATACAGACACTGTATCCATTGCATCCAACATGTTTTCTTACTCAGGGTTTCTGCAGGTCTTGAAAAGTCTATTTTCACACCTTCAAAGGTCTTCAATTGGAGCAGAAAGTCTTAGACCCAATCCCAATTCTACCCCTTAGCCCTTCCCCTTTCCCCTACCCCTCCGTTTCGCGCGTTCACGTTGTAGCGACTCAGCTCATGAGGAAATATGAATAATTAACCATAACTAGTTATAATTAATTATTCATATTTTAGATCCACTGTAGATATTTAGCTGACCTCTCAGGGTCAACTGTCTTGTCAATTCTAAGAACGTTAATTTCCTGGTTAAGGGAAATAACTTCCTTACTGTACAATTCTACAAAAGCTTGTAGCATAAATCTGCATGATTAAGTGACTCCAGTTATAAGCAAACAATGAACCACGTCAAGTGTGATACAAGTAAGGTTTTATTAACTACATAAACCCATAAACTGGTCTAACATCCTACATAAACACATAAACTGGTCTAACATACACATACACACACATACAGTTGGTATAGGAAAGGGTTAAAGCTTAACTCAGTACAGAAA